GTCGGCAAATGGCTTAGCTGACCATCTAGCAAAGCAAGGGGTAAATACAGCAGAGTGCTTCTGGGCTCAATTGTGAGACTGATCATCAATTTGTCTATGTATTCTATTGTTGGTAGCCGAGGCTGCCCATGTTTCTGTATTATCTTTTTTCTCTAAGTAATGAAATTTACTTTGATTACTGATCAAAAAAAATTAGCCACAGAGATGACAGAGAAAAAGCAAATGTGTGGATCTTGATAAGTTGGTTGATAGGGAGGTGGAGGTAGGAAAGTTGTTGGGTTTGTTTTTCTTTGGTGGAGAGGACTTTGCAAGAAGAGCTTTTTGAAGAGTTCGAGATGAGAAAAAAGGAGAGTCTAAAGAAATTCACTTCAGGGGAAGGAGGTGAGACATGAAATGAGGGAGAAGGGCAAGAAGAAGATTTTGATGGGTGAATTAAATGTTGTAAAGTGGGGGTAAGGGGTCTGGAGTTGGTAGGTGAAAGGAGGGGATAGTTTGTGGGAGCTGTTTGAGTTTTCTTAAGTATTATATATTTTTGGGTTTTGCATTTTTTTTTCTGTTTCGAGTAGGTGGTGTTACCTCAACACCTTTATGTAGTTGTATTGCAGCTTCCCTCTTTTCTTTTAATAAATTTTTTCTTATATTATCACACACACACACACGCTTACACATGTTGAAGGGGCTAAGGGGCTGGAAGAGCTAGGAGCAAACTGAAAAGGTCTTGGGTGGAAGTAATAAGAAATGATTTTTTTTGTTGAAATAATAAGAAATGATTTTTTTTTGTTGAAACAATAAGAAATGATTTAAGCACTCACAAATTCACAATTTAATGGTGGATATGGCCTGAACAGAAAGGGCAAAACGGGATTCATGTAGCCGACTCCATAAAGTTGGCAGACCTGTTCATGGGCCACCAGGCTTCGGGCTTGGCTTTACACTGTTTCGGACTTGGGCTTCAGGCTGGGCCCTTTCAAATTTTGGCAAAAGCCGAGCCCGAGCCCATGAACAGGTCTAATAGTTGGGACATGGATGATGAAAATTGCAAAATACATACAAATATATAAAAATTTCAAAATACATAAAAATATATAAAAATTGCAAAATACATGCAAACATATAAAAAAGGGCAGCCCAGTGCATGAGGCTCCCGAGTCCCGCCATGCAGGGTCTGGGGAGGGACAGATATATGCAGCCTTACCCCTATACATACAAAGAGGCTGTTTCCAAGATTTGAACCCTGGTCACCCAGGTGGCCAGGTTGCAATGGAGCAACACAACCATTGCATCAAAGCCCACCCTCAAAATACATACAAATATATAATAAAAGGTAATCTTCTTCGAATGTTAATGTTTTTTATCAGCATTCAAATGTTTAATGTTTTGGTTGCCAGCTATAAGAAGTCAAATTTAGTTACTTAGTAATCTATATTAAGAACTATAACACGCATGCTCATTAATGTGAAAAATGCATGGAAAGTTCACCAGTAGATATTCAATTAGTAGAACTCAAAATATCAAAACAACAACTTTCTATGTTGGTTATAAAAGTATAAGGCACTAATTGGCCCATTGATACACTAAGAAATAAAAGTTCAAACACTAAGAAAATGGGTCAAATGACTATAGGCAGTGTAATGGAACTGCTAATGGTACCCCAAAATAGGAGAATTCAGATTTCTCTCACATAGCTGAGAGTTTTTTTGGACTGATTGCATTGATCCATATGTCTAGACATGCCCAGAGGGTAGTTGAGAAGGATGGCCCTACCAAAGGATGTGGGACCCACAGTATAGGATAGACTCTCCTAGATGGATGAACCATCCTTGTTGGATAAGCCTCAGATACTGATACTCATGGATTCTTTAGGGACACTTCTGTGTAGCATTTTCTTTCTCTCCTTGCTTATTCGATGTAAATGAGAAGTTAATATCTAAGCTTTTAAAAACTTTTTCTGCAGGATGATAATGTTAAAATTCAAAAAAAAAAAAATATGGAGCATTTTAATACTTTAGACTTGTCCATAGGCATGTCCGCGTCCTTTGTTTTCATGTTGCCAAGTCAGACTCATGGATACATGTCGGGGGGCCCCACTTCCGACCTTTGCCAATTTTCTTCCAGGACTCTAGTGAGCTTTGGAATGAGGCCAGAAGTTGTTTCTACCCCTTCCCTCCTTCAAACTCCAATTTGATTACCTTTTTTTGGGGCCTTCAAAATGGATCCATTGATCCAACCATAGCACCATATACATGCTACTATATCAATCAGACATGCCTGAAATTTTCTAATTCCCAAATATTGATAAGGATGACTATAACCAGCGGATAAATGGGCTCTTTTTATTCATAATAGTTGATCAAAAGAAAATTAGCTGTGCTAGAGAAATCTGAGTGGTTTCATCCAGTAAAATATCATAGAGGATTTTCAATTTAATGAAGTAGGAGAGTGAGCATGCGCATCATTTGGTAAGAAAGAAAAGGTCATTGACAATTTTCTGACCATCAATGCCAGAATAACTTATAAAATATTAATGCATATAGAAGTGAAGCCCAACTGACCAGATAAGGGCACAGATCTCAGTTATCATGGCAAGTAATGTTAAGATCTTGTTATGAAACTGCAAAAGAATAAAAGAAAACAAAATGTGGTTAGATAAGACACACAAAATGAAACATTGACTTAGGGCCTTAGGGGGCAAAATATTTAGGATAAAAAACATTTAGGAAGCCTGCCTGCAAGTCTTCATATATCCAGCCTAGAAAATTCCAGGTCCAGGCCTGTACTAGGCCAAGAAATTGGATGGGCCAGGCCTCAACTTCAAATTTCAAGGTCTAGAAGGCCCAACCTGAAATAAAAGTATAAAACATATGCCATGTACAACTATGATGGGAAAAAGTTAACTACTTGGGTCAAGTAGGGAGCTTCCCTACACAACCTACTCTATTTCAGCATGTGAAAGAATCTTAAGGTCAATCCAAGCCATTCATCAGGTAAGAGGCCCTCTGGATTAGTTATCCATTAAATCCTTAGGTCCACATAAACCCTATTCCAACCTTGAATTGGACTTCTGTTCGATTAAGAATAGCCCTCTAATTTTTCAAAATTTTAATCTAAAGTTGCTCATCAAAAAAACAATTATCTAGAATACTACTGACTTAGAAGATTGAGAGGGAATGGCATTTAGTTATCTATTTAAGAGCTTTCAATAGATCTAAATATGAATATCTATGTAGGCACTGAGGACAAACAATTTATGATTCTAATTTTGAGGTATAGAGGATTATACCTGTATATTTTGAGGATGATTTTAGCTCATTAAACATGAAAATCCCATTTTTTATGGGCTTTGCTTCTTTCATTTATATTGCAATACACTATATCTAGTTATTAAATAAAGATTTATTAATGGAGCAACTCTTCTACTTTATTATGAAATGGCTTATTATGAAGCAATTATAGATTGAACTTAAGAGACCTAGATCCCTCTCAATCTCATGGGTCTTCTTCCCTTTCCCCAAATCATGCATAATGCATTTTACCTTTAGTGTTAATTTTATCAAAAAAAGGTAAAATGAGTGGTTATCAGATCGATCAAGAAAAATATGGTCATAAGAAATTGCAAACAGTTCGAGCAGATCAATAGTTTAACATCCAAAACAAACAGTTTTGACTTTTACCACCATTTTTGAGGACACAGCTATTGGTTTACTTTTGAGAACCATAGATTTTAGTGGTTTCTGCATTCCCAGTTTTAGCTGTTCAAACATCCAGTCAGGTCAAGTTCTCATAACATTGACCAAGAGTGGGTAATTTTTACCTTATAGGCATCTGATGTGTTTTGAATAGAGTTTCGCATTCTTGTAAATGTCTAAAAGCTTTCTCAATTTCCTATGAGGCACCAAAACCATACATAGTGGAAAAGGCTTACCCAAAGAGCACAAATGAGAGCAAGAACAACACTCCCAATGTAAATCACTGTTGCATAAATACGAACAGGATCAAGCATCATTCGTAATTGTTGTCCTGGGCCAATGAGGAAGGCTGTGCTGTGCCAAATGCAAGGTTTAGAATTTAGAATTTGAGATAAATGGATAATTAAAAACAAAATAAATTGGTTAGGAATTAGGAAAGGGGACAATCAGGGTATATCAAGACTAAAACAAGTCAAGACCAGGCTTAGAATGAACAAGCACTTTAATTCAGGTAAACCGTGCCTGGATGAGTTTAGGAAGCATTTTTAAGTCAAATGAACCATATTTAATAGATGGAAGCAAATACTGTGCTGGTCAAGTGACTCAAGTAACTATGGTTTAGACCAACTCAACTTTCACTACATTGTTACTGTTTGGTTTGGCCTAAATGCCAAAATTCAAACTTAGATGACTGATCTTTAAAACAACTCTAGAAACTTCCCAACCAGAGGTCTACCCAGGACTGACAAACTACAATAACCACTTCTTGTTGGGGACAAGACTACAAAGAAAGGAAAACTTTTCAAGAATTGTAGTATTGAATGAAGAGTATCAACCCCTACAATAATGGTGAATGTATTTAAACATATTTCAAACCTTATTTCCAACTTTCACTAATACTTGACCAAGAAATTGGTTTTCTTCTCAAGCTTTTATCTGGAAAACTCATTAAAAAACCAACCAGCTTATAACAAATCCATCAAAGGAATCATCTGGCAGTTAATTTACATAGAATTACAGTTAAACATACAGCATGATGAAATGAATGAAAGTCCCCACTAGAGACACTCAACAAACTTTTGAATCCTACATGGTTCAAGACAATTAAGTGCTAACCTTCCAACTGCCAATAAATTGCCAAAGCTGAATATTATTGCAAACTTGATTGGCTTTGCAAAAACAATCAATGACTGCAGAAGAAGAAAGAAGAAAAATGTTCAATGGATAACTGAAGCAAATGTTCAATCAACAACTCTCTTTTTACAGGTTATATTCCAAATTTAATATATGGATCTTGTCCCTACTTACCATCAAAATCAAATATACAACATTCAAATTTGAATTGGTAAGGCAATGCACACATGGAAAAAGGGGGAAACATGGAAGAAAAAAATCAAGTTTCTCCCACTTACCTCCTCCAGTTGGTGATTTAATTTTTTGGTTTTCTATTCTTGATCAATTTAGTCTTTTAAGAGTTAATTTATAGCTTATAGATGTTTTAGGAATATATTTAATTATTTAGTAGGGTCAAGTGAACCATCCAATTATAATAGACCTACACAAGGGCCAAACGATTGGTGTCACAAGGAGTATCAATGGGCAATTTAAGATATGTATTTGGATACACTTAGGATATGCATGGATATGGTGGAATGATTAGGACACACATGAATATGCTAGGGGAATTCATATAAATCCCATGAATACATCAATAACACTAAATCTAAGGCTCAAGTGACTATAAATAAGTTATAATTGCATAAGAAACATATAATTTAATAGTTTATGTGAAGTGTAAACAACCAAAAATACATTTGGGGAACATTGGGAAATGATGAAAGAATTAAAATATGCATGTATATGATTAATGAATTAATCATTAATGGACATATTTCTTCACCCCTGTTAACTATCAGGAAAAAATTATAATAAAAATGTTCATCCTGGGTTTATAACAGATCAGATGGTAATTCAATAAACAGTTGATTGCGATCCCCTATCCGTCATTTACTACCATATACGAATTCAAGAGTTGCACTTCATAGCAGTCGCTGCAGCTATCAATTACAAAATGACGAAATATAGAATTCTTGAAGTTCCTTTTTTTCTCTTTGTTTAACCCTTGGAGGAAACTCAGAGGCATCTTATTAGTTTGAAATATCTAACAAAAAATCCAAATTAGTTCGGTACCTTCTCTTTTGCTTCCAATAGAAGGAAACATAATCGACAGCTCAGTTCTTGGCCAATCTTTATAGCATTCCATTGAAAAAAAAAAAGTAGAAAAAAAAAATGAAGCAATTTTATATTCTGGAGACTTCCCCAACAGCCATTGTATTCTTATTCAAAAGGGCGTAAATACCCTCGTGGGTAAAGTTCAATCTTCTTATGGAATTTGATAGTAATGGCCGAAAGCCCCCGTCTTCCCAACCCTCAACTCCCACACCCACGCACATATACATATATAACATAGTCAACTGAAAGAAACCAAAATAAACCGTTAAGATTATTATCAATTATTGAAAGGGACAAATGCACGTATGCCCAATTAATAAAGTCAAAAATAATGAGAAAAAATCAATGAGTATAGTAGATCGTACCAGAAGCATACAAACCAACCCAGCAACTAAAGATGCGGCAAACCCATAAATTCTCTGATTCAAACAAAATTACAACAGAAAAAATAACAAGTCATGACTTCAAATTATCCCTAATATAAAGAAAGAAAATGATTCGTCCTGAGACTAGAAATGCATAAGTAAATAAGTAAAAACTAAGGATGCAGTTTATGACGATCTCAGGAAACCTGCAAAGGGGATAGCGAAAACAACCCATCAGATTCACCCAATAAGTTCTCATCATGTTCTTCGTCTCCATCGAACATGGGTAGATTGGGTTTCCACATTGTGCCCAATTTAATCCTACACTATACACTACTTCGTCACTTGCAGTCTGGCACTCATTTCTCAACGCCTGGAAGGCCGGAAGGCTGGAGCTTGGTGATGGCTGGTGCGACGCTTTTCTCTCCGACACGTACCGTGAGGTATCTTTCCCCCTTCTTTTTTCCATTTATTAAAAAATGCACGCGCTTATCACGTCACAAAAAAAGTGTTCGAGAGTAATCCGGATCTCCTGCCTCTGATACGATCATGCAGGTTGTGTTGGGCATAGGGTTTTAGGTCCACGGGTTGGCCCAAGACAGCCCATATATATATATATATATATATATATATATATAATATTATATAAATTATAATTATATAATAATATATAGTATATAATACATTAATAAAATAAATATTTTTTTTAATTTTATTATACTAATTTATTTAATTATTGTATTATATACACAAAATTCATATAAAATTAAAATTTTAAGTATTTTGTTAATTTTTTTAAATAAATAGCTTTGTCCTGATGCACGGCCCGACCTGGCCCAAGGCTCGACCCGCGGGCCAGCCCGACCCATGGCATTGCACAGCACGGACCTAAGTTGTGRGTCGTGCTGGGCCGACCCCCAAAATTTCCACTAAGGAGGGCAAAACTGCCCATAACAGCCCATGGGTGACCTGCGGGCCGTGCCGTACCAGCCCAACATGGTCCACTTTACACCTCTACCCACATCTACCAACAGCATATTATCCCGTGCTTTGGAACATCTCTCATCTCAATGCATAGAGGATGAGATATTTTCCATGTGTGACTGCGTTGTTAAATTGTTATGTGAGTAAAAGTGGACAAAGTTATTATAGGCAGGAGATCTGAATTCATTTGAGAGAGGGATTAATTGAATTTGATGGATGTTTTACAGACTGTGGAATCAACCATTTTGCTTGATGTGCGTTTACATTGTGCCCCACTGTTGCGGGGCTAGCCGTTGGGGCCCCGTGCGGCACTCGAATGCGACGAATAAGCCTAAGCAACAAGCAACAACACAAGAAAATGCCACAAAAATGGCACACAAATTAGACAAAAGGCAACTTGTATTGCATTAATGGATGGCAAGCATAAGCACATAATTTAGTGTCAAGGGGATCTCATGTTTAACCTTTACATGCTCTTGATTCACTCGACTACCTATCTCCCCTCAAAGAGTACGCTAAGCTTTTGGGGGAATGACATAAAGATACATCAAAATGATGAAAAATCATACTAAATAATTACAAGAATGCCATTGACAATCCCCCATACAAAAATACATGCATAATCCACCCATGACACATACTTGAACACTGGAGTGGCGGCTGTAGGCACAATGGATGGCACTTGATGGCGCGACGAAGAAAACACTTGTGACACCACAGCATATCCCACCTGTGTATTAGAAACATCTCCCACTGATAACCTCGGGAGATATTTCCAATGCATGCAGGTGGAATGTTTGTGGGGCACACTCAATAGGGTGCAGATGTGATCTCCTTTAATTGAGACAAGGTTGAAGGAGACTGGATCTCCGTTAAAAAAACCCATTCCAACTAGATCGGTTTCAATCAATACAAAGCCCATTTGAACAGCCTTTACAGCCTTGCATCGAGAATACCTCCGTAGTTATGTGCTTTATTTTATGGAGAAATTCCCAATGCAAGGCTATAATAGGTGTTCGAACAAGCACCGACTGAATCCAGTTTCTGTTCAAACACCCTATCAGTTTAATGGGACACCGCATGTCTCGTTATGTAATAGGAGCCTACCATAAAGGTAGGAGCTATCATGTATGAAATGTATGGTGCCAGATGGTGTTGGTAGTGTTAAAACATATTTTGCTGGCAGGTGATCCAGACTCAAGTTGAAGGTTTTCAACCGACTCAGTTCATAAAGTCTCTGGCTAATTATGGAATTCGACTCGGTTCATAAAGCCCGTGCTCACAGCATTCCAAACGTCTCTTGTAACTTTGCATTTCCCCAAGAAATAAAACATGTAAGTGGAGATATTCCCAAGACTGTAAAGGTTGTTCGAAAAACCAAGCCAGACTCCTGATTGTAAGCTTGGGATTGAATTCCAGAGTTCGATCTACTGCAGTTTTTTTATGCACTTATTTACTTTGGCAGATTCCAGTAATTACATAGGGTGGTGAATATTAATGAATTTGCAACCAGTCTTGGTAATATTAGATACTGTGTTGATGAATAAATCATGTTCAAACTTAAGAAGGGGATGTTGTTAACTTATATCTAAAAAACTCTTCGTCGTACCAACTATCAATACAAACAAATGATACAACCAACCAATAATTACAGCTACAAAAAAGGAAAACATCTTTATATACAGATCATTTACATGCAAGATCGTGTGAAAAGCAGGGCAGATCCATCCACTCCACGAAGAACCAGAAGCCTAGGGTCCACATAAGTTCCACAAATAATCCTCGACAAATCAAACATTTCTGGTGGTACCTGCATGCGGACCTCTTTAAGCACTGTTGTTGCAACGTCAACTTTCTGCAACGATGAGTCGTCAAGACGCATTGTCACCTCCACCTCGCCTGAGGTAAACTTGGCTACTGGAAGGCTTGATGGCAGTTCCTTCATGGAGCTTGCCCTCCACTTTCTGTTAGACAATTTCTTTGTAACGGATTCTGGGCTTGATGTGTATTTCCCTCTGGCCTTCTCTTCCATTAGGTATTGGCGCCTCCCGGCTGTTAATCTAACTGAAGAGCTAACCTGCAATTTCCCACTCATCCCAGTTTTTTTGTGCGGCCAGTTAGAGCCAACCATAACCACGAATCCAACATCAGAAGTAAATGAAAGGGCGGTATTCATTTTTGATGTCCGTGTGACTGTAAGGTGTACATCACCAATAAGGACTCTTGCGGATGGCTGACGAAGGGTTAGACCTATGTGCCTTCCTGTACAGTACAACAGGCGCCATCTTCCTGGTAGCAACTCCAACCAGTTCTGCATTTCAAGAGATGATTTTTAGAATCAGGATCATTCGCCAAAGAGTAGCATCACTGATCAAGAAAGGGAGAGCAAGATGATGTAGCATGAATTTGTATCCATGGTCTCAACCCTGCATTAGATGGAGCACCTCAACATCCAAAGACCAGACTATTTTGACAACAGTCAATTAATTGTACTTTTAGATGGTCATTCATATGCCAATATGTACAACAATTCACCAAAAATTTTCAACAAACCAAGAGATGCCCAACCCATATGCCAATTAACCAAAGCAAGGTAAGTTTTCTTTACTTTTTTTATCAATTTGTATGCATGCACTATTATATCCCAGGACCCAAAAAAATGTGAATGTAATGAAGAAATGGACCTAAATATTAGCAATTACCTTAGGCTTTGGGTGAGGATTCAACATTTCCATCAATTCAATGAAATGAGAGAGCCTGCTACGCTGAGAAGATAAAAGTATACCATCAGAAATTCTTGTGACAAATCCATTAATTCCAAGTTACAGAGGTATGATAAGGAACTGGAATACAGATGGATTACAAATCTAAGGAATTGTTATCATAAAGCATGCTTTTTTACATGCAGTTTGGAAAAACAGGACTGGATCAAGTTGTTGAACCAGAAAATAGGAAACCAAAGGATCCCCGGTTTGGTTTGGTAATTTTGGGTAACTTCATAGCTTCCACCAAATAAACTGCTAAAAACAGGATCAAATCCCTTGGTTTCCAGCCCAGTCCTGTTTTTAAGATATTACTTTTTACATTGATAACAATAATAATAAATGGTTTTATTAAACAACATTTTTTTGATAAACAACAAGATATTTATTGATTGCCTTGAAAAAAAACAAAACTGTCCAGGCTATACAGCAAGGCCAATACAAACCAGCCACAAGCCGAACAAACAAACATAAAAATTATTGAAGGATATTATAGAGCCCCAGGACCAGGCATTCCCCCAATACACCCTTGATTCATTACACCAGATCTTGCCAAGCTGTCAGCTAAGGAATTAGCTGATCTAGGAATCCACCTGAATGAGCAATTCAAGTGACTCCTCAAGACCTTAGCCTCCCTTACCAAAGCTATAAATCTCCAAGGGGATTCTGCCTCTGAGTTTATCCCAGAAATAACTTGGCAATCACCTTGAACAATCACATTTATCCAACTTTGTTGTGCCAAAAACTTTAGGCCTTGAATCAGTGACAACACCTCAGCTTCCAAAGAGTTGCCAAAGCCTGCAGCACCTGAGTAGCTTAACAAAATGGACCCCCTTTCATCCCTTGGTGAAAGGGATAATGTCCATCCTCTAACAGGGTCATCCAACCTTACACCATTAAACTCTTCACACACTAGCACCTAATATGCCACCCTCATTTTGATCAACTCAATTAGAAACTCCACATTGAGTTCCTTATTTTCAAACAACTAGCATTTCTCCCCCNCCCACCCAAAAAAAGAAAAAAAAAAAACACAACACTGCTACCTTCATGGTATGCCATATCATCTTCAGTCTTTTAGTTTTAGTTTTACGATCCACAATTTGTTGAGAGAACAACTCAATGGAGTTCAACTTCTTCCAAATAAAGCCAAGAAATTATTCCAAGTTCAGCTACCACAATTTTTTTCACTTTGAAGTCTATCACACATGTTGGTGATTAGGATGATGGCCTCCCGACAGAAAACCTTAAACTACCAGAAGAGCAAGGAGCCCACACTCTCTCATCATTCCCCAAAAAAGGAAGGAAATAGGGTTTAAATTCTGCATCAAATCCAAGGATTCAGCCTCTTCACTCACTAGTAAACCTCTCCTCAAACCCATGTTCCAAGAGATATGACCATGAGATGATGAAATAAGGCTACAATGTCAGCAATGGACTTAACCTATCTTTCTAGCCTTGCAGATGTAATAAGATTTTATAGATAGAAAAAAATTTGCTAATCGATTTCTTTAGAGAACTGTTAACAACCTAGGAATGTCAAACATGGTGATGGTTTGTGCGTTTGGCTCCCCAAAAGGACTCCACATGTCTCTCCCCATGCTAAAAAAGGACTTTTACCCAATTACTGCCTCGACCATCCAGGGCCTTAAGAGTGGTATAATAGGAGAAATTAAAGCTTAGAAGTGCTAACCATTTTCTGAAGTAAACCCTTTTAAAGTGGTTATGCATACAGCCCTCCCTCTCTCTAAGTAGGGAGGACGCATGCATAGTTGTCAAGGTGATGCCTAGCGAGGCGTGTAGGCACTTTTTGGGGCTCGCCTTGCCCAAACCCTGTATGAATTATATAAAACCTCATCAAAGTTTCACATGTTTCTTATATTTTTACATTTTAAGTATATAATATTAAGATGGGCATGATACACTATATCATTCTTTTTTACTTATTTTCAGAAAATAATAATTTTTATTAATTTCTTATTTTATTAGGGTTCTGCTAGATATTCGAAGATCTAAACCAGTTTGATAGATACTCTTGTCAGGGTTCGAGTGATAGAAGTTTTATGTACGTGAAGAATCAAGGAAAATCAACAAACCAGTATGCTATTCTTTTTCTTCTCCTTCTCCTCCTTCTGGAATAAAAAATAGGGGTTCTGCCCCTTCTTCTTTTTCTATTTTTGGAACAAAAACAAGGGGTCCACCCCCTCTAGAACAAAAAATAGGGGCAAACTAGAACAAAAAACAGGGGATCTGCCCCCTTCTTTTTCTTTTTTGTAACAAAAACAGGGTCTCTGCCCCTTCTTCTATTGCTTTTTTTTGAACAAAAACAGAGGCTCTTGGAACAAAAAACAGGGGCTCCGCCCCTTCTTCTCCATCATTTTTGAGACTTTTCTTTCATGTTTTTTTTTTTTTGAGAAAAGGTAATGTAATTTTTATTGATAGAAAAACTAGTACAAAGGCTCCCCCAACTAAACACCTTAGATGGGGAAACAGCCCAAACATAACAAAATTACAGATGCCAAAGGTAATGTAATTTTCTTTCGTATTTTTTCTTAGACAAGAACCTGGTCTCTAACCCTTCTTTTACTTCTGTTTGTATGACAAAAACAGAGGCTCATCCCCTTGTTGTCCTATATTTTCTGAGACATTAAGTGAAGCCTAAGCAACTAAGCGCTCCCTTGTAACCTAGGTTTGCCTTGGTGCCTTGAAAACTATGGACACATGGCACTTGAAAAGAGGGAATCTCCCTCTCTCTATTTGGGATGGATGCCACATAACCCCCTTAAAGGAAGTGGATGGTTACCTAACTACCTCACCTCTATAGCCCCCCCCCCCTCCCAAATGCATTTCCACACCTAATACTACGCTGGTTGTCCAAAGTAGACTAAAAATAGAGAGAAAAGAGAGGAACCCTGATCTCCTGAAAGAAAAAATTGTGCAAACACCCTAAGAGAATCACATCATGCCTTAAATTGGGAATGTCTCCCATACTTGTGTCTTAAATTCATGGAGAGATATTCCAACGTGTAGCTGGATGACATGCTCTTAGTGTGCCTGCAGGATTTTTGCTTGCAATTAATCCCATCTTAAAGGAGATCGAGACACGGAAAAGAGAAAGGGTGACGCAGTCCATGAGCAAGGTTTGAAATTTCACAATGTATCAATCCGCATCGGCTGATATGAAATCTCTAAAAAGACAGGTGAAAAGGGCTTTCTTTTTTCAATCCAGAAGATATGTTCATAGGAAAAAAAAAACTAAGAGCTACAAGATAAACCCCAGATAGTGGAGAATCAAAATGCATCATACTATCTATTTGCTGTAGAGTGGTAGCATATCGCATTGATACTTTGATCCTTGATATGATGCCCATTCAGAGTATCATATCAAGGTCTGATTAGGAGACCTTTAATAGGTTTAACTGACATGGAATCATGGACAATGTTGTGTACAGATTTTTATAAGTTTTTTATGCCAACAGTTTATTTGGGGAAAATGTCAATAGGTGGATACAGAGATGACATGGACAATGTGATCGAACACATGGCTAAATCCTGAGGATCTCCAATCTAATGGAGGGTTTGGATTCACCACATCATCCCTCAACATGGTAGAGATATGCTAGGTCACTACAGAAGGTCTCTACATGATCTGATTAGGAGACCATTTTCCTTTTACAAGTAACATAATTTTGCAACCAGGGCATACACACTGTCTGATAACAAATATCTGATCAATCAAAATTAAGGGATTATGTTAGGGTCCAGCCCACTAACGGCCCACATACCAACCGGGTTACTCCACCGCATAGTTGTCAAGGCGACGCCTAGGCAACAAGGTGCCCTTTGAGGCTCTCCTCGCCTAATCGCCAAGCAGTGTTGTACTATGTATTGTAAAATACTTTTTTTTATTCATTATTTTTGACATTATAATTATAAAATAGGCACTATTAAACTAAAATATTCATTTTGTGTGTCTATATACTAATCTGTTTTTATTATTTTCTTATATGTTAGGATTTAATCAATACAAACATTGCTAAATGCTGTATTGAACCCTCAAAGACTTTAAAACCTGAACCAATAAGTAAGGAAGAACTTAAAATTTTGTCTAATCAACACATTTTCTATACTTTAACATGAACTTTGTACTTTTCTTATGAAAATTATGAATAATTATTAAGGAAATATGGCTATGGTACTTAGGAAACTACCCTAGGATCTATGTTTTCTATATAAAAAAAAATCCTTCGCCTAGGCGACTAGGCGACAAGGCGCCCCCCTAACGCCCAGCCTCACCTTGGCGCCTTGAAAACTATGCTCCACCGACCCAGATCACTCACCAGCCCATCATAGCTCACGTCTATTTTAGAAGGCTTTGTCAGCAGGCCTGAGCTGCCAAGACCATTGGAGGATATTTTCTGAGACTGAGTAACTAAATTGACAGAGCCCATTAGAGGGAATATTCTTGTAACCACCGAATGATTGGAATGATTTGCTTTTGCCTTGTTTTTGTCATTTCTGGGTCCATCTATATAACGGACCTAGCCTGAGAATCAATGGACAGCATTTTCCATACAAATTCTCACTTCTTCCTCGTCTTAAAACATTCTGGAGGTTGTGCCACCCTCGAAGAGGCACCTGAGGTAGGTAGAACCTACCAGATTACCCATGCAGAAAGGATAGAATTGGTGCTTCTACATTTTTGTAGGTAGATAAGAAAACATGGAACAACTGGAACAACGGGAGCATCTAAATGGAATTGTTGCCATCCTCCAGTGATAATGATTTTGTTCATAGCTAGTGAAAGTTAGGAACAACACTTTCAACCTTTAGTTTGCAATAGGATTCTTTATTACATGGATCTTATCATGTATGGGGATTAGAAGAGAAAAGAAAGTTATTAGCAGCTTGGTAAAAACAACCTCAGTGGAAAAAGGTTTAACTGCATCTTCCAGATATATCAGTTGCCCTAAGAAATATAAATTTATGCTAATCCTAGACTAATCCAAGGCCTCAGAAACTTGACTCAAGGAATTCATAGTTCTCTATGTCCTCTTTCAAAGTGATACAATAGGATGGCTTTTGAACCACGAAATAATAAGGTTTTCTGCAGGTTACATGAGATAATGGAGGTACTTCTAGTAAATGGCATGATTTGGGGCTTAAAGGAGAAAGACAAATATGTTATTCTGTATGGGAGAAATAAATGAAATATGACAACTAAAGACAAACTGAGGCTGTAAAATTTCAAAATACCTGACGTCGGACATAAATGTATTCCTCTGCAATTCGAACAGCAGTTGAACCTAGACCCCACCTAACCATATCCATAGATGCATCTACACGCCATCTTGGTCCACACAGGAACGGGTGCCTCAGGGCATCTAAACAACTGCACAGTAATTGAAAAGGCAATTATGGCTTATATTATCTTTGCTATACATGTAAACTTGCATGCAGCATATGTACAGTATGTTGATTCAATTATTATGGTCAACAAATTTGATCCCATAAATAACAAGGAACTTACTGCTCATTTTTTTATCAGAAACAGTACGAACTTACTGCCCTACAGCATGCCCACAGACATGTCAACCAGAGGAAAAGGCTTTATCTCTTAATGTTTATTATGTTAATACATTCTCTATCAGGATCTTAGTTCTCCATATTAAATTTTCTGATCTTATGTTTTATGCTTTTAACTATTTGTTTGCATGGAACTTTTTACCTTCAGCATTAACAGAGCAAACTTAATAAAAACCTTATAGCTTCTGCCCCTGATGATCTGGTTAGCTTTTTTGAACAAAGTTTCTTTATCTCTGAAGACTAAAAAGGGAAAGATGCGATGGAGATGCACTAAGGCTGCCATTCTTTGGACAACATGGGAATAAATAAACAGTAGTGTTTTAAAGAAGAGACGCATACAGCTGAAGGCTTGATTGAAAACATGGAAGTCAATGTAGAAAATTTTGGTAAAAACAACAGCTCTTTTTTGAACATTATTCAACATAATAAGAGCATGGCAGCACATTGCAAACTCTTCCATACCAAAACCTCGAATAGTTAGCCCATGTCTCCTTCCACCACTGATAGTGTTAAATTGAAATTTGATGGGTACATCCTGGRCAACCCTGCAGGAATTGGGGGTGTATTCAGAAATCCTGAATGAGTGATCCTGACAACCTACTCGGGTCCTATAGGCCAGGGCAACTCAATTAAGGCAGTAAGCTAGTGGAAGGATTGAAGCTTGGGAAAAGGTTAAAATACACCAATCTGATAGTGGAAGGCGATGCTCACACAACCATTGGATGGATGAAGAAAAACAGTAAAGGCCCTTAGTGTTATAAACTTATAAACACACTGAGAGAAGCAATTTGCTTAGCAAGGGAATTGAGAGCCATATTCAGCTGGATAAGTAGAATAGAAAGTGGCATGGCTGGTGCATTGGCAAGACAAGGGGCTCACAGGGATCACGTATTTTGGGAGACCACTAGTGGGGAACAGGATAATGGTATACCCTAATTAAAGGAAAGATAGTGGGGTGGGGAGTTTTGTCCCCCATTGTATCTGTGAAAATTTTTCAGTGTTCCTATATGAAACCTAAAGGTGGCTATAATCAGGTTAGGCAGTGAAAAGCTCAACAAGACATACACACAATCACTAATGAGGTTAGACTCTTTCCTTTTTCTTGTTTTTATTTGTTTGTGTAAAGAGACTGGGCCGAATGGGTCCTAGTATCTTCTCTTGTAATATCTTTTCTTTTATTATTGGCTAATGGGCTTGTTATTTCTTTTTGTTTAATCTCTTTATGTTACTGCCTAGCTGGCCGCCCACTTAAGGGCATACTTGTCATTACTTTAACTTTAATTCTTGATAAAAAAAGATTAGAGGAGAAAGGGAAGATAATTCGATACTTCTTCTTCTTCCTTCTCTTTTCGCCATCTTCTTCTCTTGTGTTGCTGCTCTTACTTCTCTTCTTCCTTTTCCTTCTAATCTTCAAATTTACACCTAATATTTGAGGACTGATTTACATCTTGGTATCAGAGC